AGATCCTTGAGGTTTTCATTGTGCCCACAGGTTCCTTTTTGGCCATCTTTCATGAAAGCAAACTTCGTTCCTTCCCTGGAAAGACTGCCATGAACTGCACAACCAGCCAAAGTACCAGGCTTTTTCCGTGGGCTTACGCTAGCTTCACAAGTCAATCCCAGTTCCTCAGAGCTTTCTGGTGATGACCAGAACCCATACATGCCTCCTTCAGGCGTGACATTTCAGTCAGTCTTGGTTAACAGAACCACTATTAACTACTGGTCTTATTGGTCTTATGCAAAGAAACCTTATGTTTTCACTTACTCCTTCAGAATGCCAAATTCTGGAGGGATCAGGTAAGGAGAAAAATACAAAGCCTGAGGGAAAATCTTTTTTCTTCTGATATCTACTGGGCTTCTTAAAACCTTTACTTCCACAGACTTTCTTCATTTATATATATATATATATATATATATATATATATATATATATATATATATATATATAAATTATTTACTTTTCTACAGAATGTGAAGTTTTAACCTTCCCTGGAATCTTTAATTTCCTTTTCAGAGCAGATACAGAGAAAAATCCAAAACACAGAGTTTCCAGAACAGTACACAGGCAGGAGCATTCTCTTGCACAGAGACATGCTCCTTCAGGCCCGGCCTTTTGGCAGAGACATGCTGCTTTGCCTCTGGCTGAAGCACTCATCAGCCCCAAATGACCCTTCCTGGGTCCCGAGTGGCAAAGGCATCCTCCCCAACCAGTTACAGGCAACCTTAAACAGATTTTAAGTACAGGGGGTTTTTGATCAGAAACAACACTGCTCTTTTCCCACAAAACCAGAAAACAAATAGTTGAGGTTGCCTTTACTCCAGGTTTACAACTTTATATTCTTTATACTTAATTTTACTCATTCAGATTTAACCATTATTCTTTTAATCCTGGTTCCTTTCCCACTCTGGGAAGGACAGCCGAAAGTCCCTGGCACTGCAGGTACCTTCCACTAAAATTCCCTAGATTTGCAGGGACATTCTGCAGTTTTTTGAAGCTCAGACCCTGCAAACACCCTACAGGTCCGATGTTTACCCTTAAACCTTAGTACATGTCCTTCAGAGCCATTCTTATCAGAGCCAGTTACACAGAGAACCAGACTGATGCAGTCTGGAGAGAGCCCTTAGCCTGGCACCTTGCCCAGTTCCAAGATGGAGGGGCTCTCATGTGACCCATTATCCAAGATGACGACAACCACGCACGCTCCACCCTTGGGGGGGGCACTCACGTGGCTCGTCCTCCATTTTACCCAAAATGGCGGCGCACCCACATACATGCAATATAGTACTGTGGCAGAACTCCCCCGCCCCAACCCATGATGAATTCTCCCAACTGACGCAGACAAACAAAGGAAAAGGGGATCTTTCTTTCACATTTACACACAGTCACACAGTTCTCCCCCGAGTAGGAGTTCAATGGCCTGGGTCTTGGCCCAGACTCCTGTATTTTCCAGGAGGGGGGTGATCAGCCCCCACCCCCCACCCCCCCCGTTCTCGGGTGCTGTCCTCGGGGCACTCTCCGATTCCTGATTGGTGCCTCCGACAGTTCGCAGTTCGTCTCTCCCCTCCGCCCGGGTGTTAGAGCGGTCGGGGACGCGGCATGGGGAGTCTCTGCCCCGGGAAGCCTGGAATCACCAGGGCACGTGCTCCTCCCTTGCGGCAGGGCTCCCCCACCGAGCCCCCCGGTCGTCTTCACAGGAGGCAAAATACCTGCTCGTGTGAGGGTTTCCCGGTCCGGGAACCAAAATGTTGTGGAAAAGTCACTCACACACGGGGAAGATGATGAAGCACAAACTTTATTACTCGCAAGGTCTCAAGGGGGGTTAATTTCCAAATGCTGAGCTGAAAAAGCTGGGTTAGGAGTCCTTTTTATATACCAGTTACACAGGAAGAAAGGGAGGGGGAACCAGCTGCTGAAAGCAAGCATTTAGAAGCAGGAGCAAGGTCAGTGGCCTTGAGATAACCAGTCTTTGCCTTGGTGACAGCTCCTTGCCTAATTGCGAGTGTTACAGAGTGCAGGTTTCTTTTCCTGCCACAATATCTCGCTTCCCTGGATGAACCAAGTGTTAGATTAAGTTGTTTTGGAGGTCCCTATAAGGCCCTGCATGTCTCGGGAATTGATCCCACACACCCAAGCAAGGTTCCAGCTCACGTGGGAACACTCGATTTCTCAAGCCGAGGGGAGGAAATGCCTCTTGTCTTTGGTGCTTGGCGAATGCCAAAAGGTCTTATACAAAGCCTGGGACTAACACTAAATTCTTCTGGAGAGTGATCTTCGGAGGCGAGTCGAAACCAAAACACTCATTCACTATCCGCTTTTCCTTATGCAGGCAGACCGAGAGAAAAGGCAAATCTAAAGGACTGCAAGAGGCGGCTGGTAAGAAACAATTTCCTGATATGCTTGTAGATAGCTCTGTAATTAGTTCCTATTTTTAAAGCTAACCAAAGGGAAAGTCTTTGCTCTTTCTCCCAAGCCTAGACCTAGTTGGGGGTTGTGCCTCAGGGATGGGCTTGTGAGTGTTTTTACAGTGTGCCTCTCCTTGCGTGGACTTTTGCTTGCGGGTGGTGGGAAACCTAGTGTTCTAATCCAGTCCATGTACCAGCTGCTCCTGTCATGGATGAATTCCAGCAGGGAGCACCCTTGTGGCTTTTAACTGCTCGACCCATGTCTGAGAGGTTGTGGAAAATGCTTGGGAGAGAGAGCAAGGCTCCTGTCCACTAAAGAATGCACAGTTGCAAAGCAGTTGAAAGAGAAGGTGACCTAGGAAGAAAACACTATTCCTCTGAAATCCAATGCACGCTACGACCTAACCGAAAAGCACTTGATGTTGTCAGCCTGTACCTGGGCCTCTTTCCAGGAGCACAGTTTCAACTGAAGTGTGTCCTGGGACCAGAGACTTAGCTGGCAGGGTGTCCAAAGCTGGGAAGGGAGATGTGGAGTCTCCTGTGTCAATCTTAAAATACCAGATGACCTCAGGGTGTCCTGGGTTGACATTTACACTGGAAGATAATTTGACATTTATCTAGGCTTCCACCAATCAACTTCAAGTCATTCAAGGGGAACAGTAACAGGGCAAGTTAAAAATATTCCCTGAGCCCTGACCAGTGTGGCTCACTTGCTTGGGTGTTGTCCTGCAAAACAAAAGGTCCACTGGTTTGACTCCAGGTCAGGGCACAGGCCTGAGTTGCAGGTTCCTTTCCCAGTCAGGATGAATCGGAAGGAACCAATCCATGTTTCTCTCTCACATCGATGTGTCTCTCCCTCAACTTCTCCCTCCTTTCTTCTTCCTCAAAACATAAATGAATAAAATCTTTGAAAATAATATCTCCTGAATCTCACAATTAGATCCTTTCATGTTCACTTTATGGAAGGCACCCTGGGGGGCTCAATTAGACAAACTCATGTATTTGGGGGACAGTGCAGCACAACTCACCACAGCAAAGAGTGGTCAGAGGAAAGGCCATGGTACAGAGAAGGGGCCAGTAAAGTTCTTCTCTGTAGGGCTGGGTGGGAAATACCAGCATTTTCCATCTTGCAGGACAGGCAGCAAAATTAGAGTATTATGTAGGTACTGACACAATAATAGAGAAAGAACATTTCCACATTTTTGGATAAAATTCAAACAGAACATTGACTACAAAATATTGGAAATACAGATGTATTACTAAGAGGAATGGATTCCTTTTTTGAATAAAATTGTTGTAAATTTACTCCGCTTGGGTGTAAAATAGTGTTCCTCATGTTGTATTGATTGCAAATGTCTCAGCTCACAGGCAATCCAAAAATAGTCAGTGGAATGGTCCTTAGTTCTGTACCAATTTCAGATACCAAAACTATGGTTTCAATATTTCAGCATCCCTGGAGGTTCTGGCTAAAGTTACAAGGAGAAGAGAAAAAAAGACAGAAGGAAGCCTAAGCATTAGAGCAGGTCCTTTCCCACTCTTTTCATTAATATCATCGTATATGTATAAAACCAAGAGTCCACAAAGTATTGGAACAAATTTAATTACAATTATTGAAAAATTTATCAACGTTGCTAAAGTATTGAAATTACAAAAATCAGTACCATTTCTGTATACCAACAAAGACTCATGATAATAACTAATTGTTAACTAAACAATCAGCCTTTTCATACAGATGGTGCTCACAAGGAAAAGGAAGCTCCTGCCCCCTCCAACACCAAAGCCAAAGCCAAAGCCAAATCCAAAACAAAGGTTTTGGAGGCAAAGAAAGCAGAGTTGAAAGGCGTAAAAAGCCACACACAACAAAGATCTGTGTGCCAATGACATTTCGACTGTCAAACACTGTGCCTCAGGAGGCAGCCTTAATGTCTGGCCCAGGAAACCCAAGCTTGACCACTCTGCCATCATCCTGTCCCCCTGTCCACTGAGGGAGCCATGAAGAAGACAGAAGACAACGGCACACTTGTGTTCACTGTGGGTGTCAAGGCCAACAAGGACCAGGCCAAACTGCCTGTGAGGAAGCTCTATGACAGTGACCTGGCCACGGCCAACACCCTGCTCAGGCCTGATGGAGAGAAGAAGGCATGTGTTCACCTGCCTTCCCCATGTGATCATTTGGAAGTTGCCAATGAAATTGGGGTTCCTCTGAACTGAGTCCAGCTGACTAATTCTAAACTTAAATATTCTACACTGTAAAACAAACAAACTGGTTAAAGTACATAGGAATTAACAACCAAGAATAAACAAGAAAACCACCAAGGAGAAAATTTTAAAACTCTGAGAAAACACAGATGTGAGTACACTGACAGACATGGGGCTCATTGGTTTTGGTCCAGGGACCAAGGGTCAGATGTCTGACCTCTAGAACTACAGGAAAATAAACTGGCTGTTTTGGCCTCTAAGTTCCTGGTGACTTGTTCCAGCTCAATCAGGAAACTAATGCAGGACCCGTGTCTCCTGTCCAGCTGGAGGCTGAGACCAGAGCTTCCTCACTGTATTTCTGATGCACAGGCAGAGTGAACTCTAGGATTCAACTGAGCATGTGTGACCCATTGAGTAATCTCATTGAGACTGTCCTGCCTTTGGGAGTTCTTCTGTGTGTTCTTTGCAACAGGTTTGTTTCTCTTTCCTTAACCAACTCAGTGTATTTTCAATCTTAGGAATGTGATGATGGACAGGAAGGTGATAGGGTGATACAGAACTAAAAAAAGGAAAAGACTTAGCTTTTAAATGTCATGGTAGAAAAGGCCCAATGGGACCTGACTGTGATGTTGGCCCTCCAGTCCCTGAGCAAAGTGCACCAAGAAGCAGCAGCGTTGCTCCCATTGAAGGCTGATTTTCCCATAACTTTCATTCAATTGCTGGTTTTATTCGATATCCTAGAAAATGAAAATACAGGTTTGAAATTCAATGTCCTTCTCCATGTTTGTCTTCAGGGGAAATAATCACCGATCTGGGTTGACAGGAACAAGACAGTGGCATAGGAGGTGCCAGCCCTCATGTCTACATGGAAACACCTATTTTAACAACCATTTGTGGGTGACAATACCTTACAGTTTATGGGAGTCCAGGATACAACTGAGAGGCCCCGCCAATCAGGTAAGGCAAGACAATCCAAGGCATTGATGCACAGAAGAAGGTGAGAAGGACAGTTTCCCTTCACCAGAGTCACCCCTCCCAAGGCAGCACAGCTCTGGCATCTCTGGGAGCCTGTTAGAAAGCAGAGTCTCAGGCGCCACCAAGACCTGCTAACTAGAGCTCACAGTTCATCAAGGTCCCAGGTGATTTGTGTGCACGTTATGAGAAGCACTGCATGATCACACACACAGGAATCCATAAATGATGTTTCTAGTTGTTGTCTGTGTTATTTACCATTTATGTGAATGGTGTCATGCTGCATGTATCTGTTCTTCAACAAGCAGTTTCTGAGATCACATCATGCTAATGTGGATCTAGTACATTCCCTTTAACTTGTGGACAGAAATTGGCATTCATGTTGCTGATAATGAAACCTGTCAGGAATTCAACCATCAGTGTCTTCGACATAGTGAAATCTGGTACAAATGACCCTTGGGCTAGGAGGGGGTGAATGTTCTTCCCAAGGGAAATCAATCACCATTTATTGCTTTACCACTAAATGTTACATACCCAGGAGAGAACAATGTTTTTCAAGTCCTGTGTCTTTGATATCAGTGAGAACACTCAAGGTAGCCTAGACTGGCAAGGGTACTGTTACATGAAGAAGGCACCTGTAGAGAATGGGAAGGGACCTTCACCCCAATTTCAATTAAACTTTGTATTCTTAATATACCTAGGGACACTAGAATTCCATGGAAGATGAGCACAGCAGATGCCAGCAGTGGTGAGGAAGGTTTTCCAACCCCACGCCCTCCGTGCCTGGGGGTGTGGAGAAGCCAAATGAGGAGGCTGGGTCCTGACACCTGGCACACAGGGTCACCCTCAGAGCATCTATCTGTCAGTGCCACCCTAAGAAGGAGAATTCCAGGATGGGGCAAACTGTGGGCAGCTCCTACTTTGCTTTATTGGGCCAATCGAAGAGCAGACAGCGCTCATAGGGATGCAGAATGACTGCAGAGGTGGGAGAATCCTGAAATCCAGGGAGATTCTCAGAGGCCAGAGGAGCATTATGGGAACAGGGCCAAGGAGCCCCTGGTGGGCCTGCTGTCAGCTCTCAGTCTCTCACCTACACACAGACAGTCACACAACTAACTCCACGATACGTGATTTATTGACCAGGTAGAAGAAAGTGTTATTCATGGTAGAGTTCTTCCAGGTATGGCATAGAGTCACAAATTTACAGAAAACCATCGATTCTTGGTGAGTTGATGAGTCTTTTCTAGACATGTTGAGAAGATGCTGAAGATTCAGAGATAATGCCTTCCTGGAGGACAGTGCTAGAAATCAGGTCACAGAACTTCTCACAGGATGATATGGGGACCATGGAAGGAAGCACTCACTGGCCACTAAATAAGCACATGAGAGAGAGCACCCAGAAACTCCTTAGCACTTCCTGGGTTGAACTGAGGACAGACAGAGTTTCCACTACAGAGAAAAGTGCTGAAGATGCAGCCGACAGCTTGCTGTCTAACCCAGGCTACTTGCCAGAACAGGGGAAAGGGGTTCATTGGACAATGATTTTTCTTTTTCGGTGACTGTTCCCATCTTACCCTTCACTAAACTGAGTCTGTGAAAAACAGAGAGGACTCAGTGGAGGACCCAGGCTGCTTTCTGCCATCCTCAACATTAAAGGGTTGCACAAGTTTTGATAAGTCAAGAAAGAATAGCAACAACCATAGTTACCATTATTAAATGCTGCCTTTATGCAAGACATACTTGCTAAGACTTTCCCAAATGTTGCCTGAATAAAGCCCCACAATACAGCTGAGGGAGGAAACACCGGAGGAAATTGAGGGCCTATTTTCCAGGGGTAGGACAAGGGGAAGGTCAGACAACTCACTTTCAGGTCAGAAGGTCAGGATGTGCAGAGATCAAAGGAACATGGTATTCCCGGAAATGGGAGGGTGAGACCAAGGGTGAGGCCTTGGAAGATGGACAAATCCCAGAGGTGTATTGAATTTGGCACCGGCACCCTGGTACTCTTCCCTGTTTCACATTTGAAGTGTTAATGATTTTAGGACATTATCAGCTCCTGAGGCCTGCTCAGCAGCAGGAAATCCACACAGTGACCCTGTGAGGGGCACATCGTTGTTTGTTCCTTTCAATCCTGAGGTCATTTGCTCTAAAGCTCATGAAGGGGTGGCTCCTGAACCAAAACTCCCAACTCCAAATTTCAAGCTCACCCCAGAAGCTTCCTCACCAAATGTGTGTGTTGCAACCTTTGGGCATCAAGCCTTGTCGGTTTTGAAGGGCAGGGACCCCTGGACTACCCCAGCACCACCAGACAGCACCCACCTGGAGGCCTGGGCTCTGTGGTTCCATCAGTCCTGGGAACAGGGGTCTGCAGAGGCAGAACAGAGCACAGTCAACCAGCAGCCCCTTATTTCCCAGAGAGAAACCAAATAATTGTCTAGGGTATGACAGAATGGCCCCATTGGAGTTGTTACCTTCTCTTGCTTTTCTCCAGTCAGTAACACGAGAACATATGAAGAAGGAACCAGAGAGAGCTAAACTTACCAGCATTGGTCAAGTCCCGCACATTTTCCTTCAGGATTCCATGGTCTTCGCAAAGTTTCTCAAACCTTTTCTTCAGTTCTAGACTCACATATGGTTTTCGTCCTATGGGAAGAGTGACAGTAATGGCTGTGACTTTGAGTTGGACCCTGATGGAGGCCCTTGGGAAAGGGGACAGATGATGGGGATGGATGGCACTGACTGGTGCTTAGGCAGAAGGGAGGGAGGGGCTGTCTCCTGTCTTGACTGTGACTATTTAGAATATCCTTCTGCATGATGAGAGATTTCATCACCTTCCCATCACTGCCTCGCCTGGGGGTTACCCACGGTCAGTACCTCTCTGCAGGAGAGGAGAAATGGCCCAGCAGAAGATTGGGGGAACTTTTATGTGTAGCCCACTCCAAGGTGAATATCAGCATGAAAATACTCTACCATTGAGCACCACCAGTTGGGATATTTTCTCATTATTGTAATTCAAGAAATACATTATATAATAGTCATCGTAGTCTGCTTCAGCTATTTGTAACCTATTGTATCCATCATCTGTGGAGGAAAGAGACCACAGGTCAGAAATTCTTAGGCTCATGGGAAGCAAGGGAAACTCTTACCTATATTCTTTCATGAAACAATTCAAGTGCAAATCCTGAAAGAGGTAAAGGTGATATCTAAGCATTCCACTTGTCCCCTGGGCATCATCTGGTGACTTCCAAGGGTGGAAATGGAAACCCATGGTACCTGGGTTCCACCTGGTAGGAAATTCTGCCACAGTTGCTACTGCCCTACTATTACTTCCCCTGAGGCTCGAGCACCTCCCTCAGCCATGTCTGCTGACTGTGTGTCTCTGTCCTGTCTAGGAGCCCCGCTGGTATTACATACTGGCACCCTGTCTAGGCAAGGTGCTGTGGCAATGGCCACCAGAAGCCCTCACAGTGGACGTGGAATCAGAAGCTCTCCAACAATTTAATTTTTGTGGTCCAGTTTTCTTTTGTTGCAGGTGGCACACATGACCACACTGCCATCTTATTCTCATGGTCTATGTGCCAGGCCCTGAGTTTTACAAACAAGAATCCCCAAATATTGGAGAACTTGGCTATTACGTGGCTCACGTGTAGAACCTAAAGAGCATGAGGCAGAACGTGATCTCGATGCTAAAGGCATTGGTACTTAGTAAACTTCTTACAGCTGGAAGTAGAATTTACAGAGACTTTTTAAATGTATACTTACAGAAGACACTATATACACCTTCCTCTTCTGTTTCATCACAAATGAAAGTCAGTTCAGCACACTCTCCATTGATCCTGTGAAACAGAATGAGCTGAGTGGTGCCCGTGAGATACTGAGGGGCTGGCTCCTTCCCTCTCCACCTGTACCCTGAGTGTCCCATTTTGTGAAGCATTGAAAACCCTTTGGTAAAACTTTGAAAGAGCTTTTATTTTCCTGTTTCACTTTATTTGCTACTTTAAGAATGAGTCAACTACTGACATCACTGTTCCTCCACTTCCCACTCTCACTCTCACTGCTGCGGCTACCTGTCTAGATAGTTGGCTGAGGGCCCCGCTGTGCCAGCATCACAGATAAATGCTGTACAAGCATTGCCTCACTCAGTTCTCACACAAAAATGGAAAAAACCCATATTAGAGAATTACGATCATCTTTTTACCCAAGGGATAATTGGGGTGGAAAGAGAAAAAATTTCTAGGTCTCACTATAGAAAAATTTCTAGTAAGAGTTTCACCAGAGACACATCCTACCCTCTTACCTAATCTACACTGTCGCACTGCTTATGACTCAGATCCCCTCTGCCCTCACCTCCTCTACTGCCATTTAAACCCATTCCTGTCAGCAGTTCTTACTTCTGAATCTAGAGAATCTTCAGGTTGATCAAGTGGAGGATCAGTGCCTGATAAGAGTTGCTGTTTTGAACACAGGCCCACAATGTAAGTGTGCAAAAGAATGTCCATGAGTGTGTGTGTGTGTGTGTGTGTGAAGCTCCAAAACCATACTCAGCTTCTTTCCCCAAGTAGAAATGTCCTACTTACTTCTTATGATATTTCAGTAACAGAGAAGAGTTATCCAAGGCCTGGGTGTATTCCATAAACATTCTCATGCTACCTTGTTCTTCTATCTTTTCCTTCATGTCTGAGGCCAAGAGAATGGTATACCACTCGCCAGAAAGCTGCAAATAATCAGTAAAATCATTGGGAGAGAAAGAAGAGACAGGACCCTGCATGAACCCTGTCTCCTTGAGCTCTGGCCCCTGGGCCAGGCCTCACAGTGGTGATGTGAAGGTGGCATTAGAACTCAGGTCCATGGACACCTCACGTAGGCCTCTTTCCACTGTCCCTGCAGTGAGAACGGAGGTCCCCAAGGTTTGTCATCTTTCCACATGCTATAACTGCTCTTGGTCCAAGGTCAGAACCACCCCCCTTGTCTTCCATCAAAACCTCTCACCCTCTGGGAGGGTCACCTGGCTTCACAATCCCCCAAAACCCCCAAGGTCTAAACTCCCTAGGCTTCCCCAACTCTACCTTTGACATGTCGAAATTGCTTGTCACGACGTCATGGTTCTCTTCATGGTGGGCACAGACCACTGTCAGCCCCAGACACAGCAGCAGCAGCTTCATCTTGGGAGGGACAACACTGACTCAGTGAAGGTCACTGAGAGTGAGTCTTTTCATGATGGTGGCTCTGTGATCCAGTGCCTCTGCTTTTATATTCCTTCTGAGCCCAGTTTTCTGTCCCCAGGGCCCCACCAACCCCTCCCACTCCCCCAATGATCTGCATTCATTGATGGCAGTCCAAGACTGCTCCTGGGCATCTCATCTCTTCCAGATCTACTCGGTGACCTGAAATTACTCAAAACACACACTCAAAACAAAAAAGAAGATAGTGGATGCCATGAAAGGCTGCCATTTGGAACCAGATTTAACCATGAAATCAGAAAGCCGATTATGTGTGGCAAGAATAGAGTATTACTAGGAAATGGGGTGTGTGGACAACCCACCTTCCACCACTCACGTGCTGGGGGCAGTGGGTGAGTCACTCCATTGTAACAAGCATCAGAAACAAACAAACTGTGTGTACCAAAGATGACAGCACCTGTCAGAATCATTCTAATAGTGCCAATTTGAAGAGGGCTGGGGAAAATAAGGTATGGAAAGTACAGTGTCTGGTACTGAGCACATTTTAACTCCTTTTGCTTGTTGTCTGAGTTCAACCACAATAAAGGAATGAATGTTCAGTCACTACATGCACTTCCCCATATGCCGTTGGCCTCTGGGAGAAGTGGAGAGATGGAAGACGTTGTCCATACACACACTTTGTTCCACAAGCGGATGCAGGAACCCAGCTGGGTGGGGCCAAGTCTGGACCACTGTGGGTCAGGAAAGGGGGTGCTGCCTGGGAGGGGGCGTCACATGGCAAGTGCTTACAAACACAGGCTTTGGATTCACACGGACCTGGGCTTCCTTCCTATCACTGTCCCTTGTATGCCATGAGGACAAATTGAACCTCTCAGAGCCTTGGTGTCCCCTTATGGGGTCAATCCTGCCTGTCTACAGATGGCTGTAGGGACTCAATGGGACAGTGTGTGTAGAAAACTCAGACTAATGTTTGGCACTGCTGGGCTGGTGGGGTCAGAGAACTATTCCTGGAAGGGTGGATCTTGGGGACAGGCAGGGGTCTTGAACTCCAGGCAGGGTGTGCAGATGTGGAGAGCATGTGGGGAGGAGTTCCTGGTGAAAAGAATCTTGTGATGAGGCTCCAGTGCCCATAGCTGAGGCTTCTTAAAAGCTATGGGTCACTAATGCCTTGTGCCAATGGTCCATTTCTGCACCCCCCAAACCAGAAAGAGGCCTGTGTCACAGGAGGAGCTGGACACAAGGCAGTGAACCTAGAAATTGTGGCATCCCATCTGTGGCCTGCTTTCAAAAGTCCTCCTAGCCCCTTGTGTGATCCTGCCTAGTTCTCGCTCAACAGATATCTGGTCATTGGTATGTTGAGGTCTGTATAACCTGAGACATCATGGATGGGCTAGAGTTTGTCCTGCCCTGAGACAGAGGAACTGAGCTTGACAAATGGTGGCAAAGGTTGTGCGCTGCATTGTGTTTTATTGATTGTCTCCAAGAACAGATGGCAGCCTATGGGCAACCAGGTCTGCAAGATGAACTGGGTTGTGATGCTGAGGGAAAGGCCATGTGCTGCTGTTGCCCACACCGTGTCTGTCCCATCCCACCCCTCCTGGTAACTCTTTGCCCATGTCAGAGCACCATATTGCAACTTTCTGCTTCAAGGAGCTCCCACTGTGTGCTCAACAAAAAAATGAGAAATGAGCCAGTAGCGCCAGGACAATGGGACGCGGAAAGACAAGTATGACTCCCTATTCAAAGTGGTGCTCATCAGGGACGTGGGTGTAGGGAAGACCAACTTGCTGGACCACTTCACCCACAATGAGTTCGACCTAGAGAGCAAAAGAACTATTGGCATGGAGTTTGCCACCTGCAGCATCCAGGTGAATGGCAAGACCATCAAGACCCATAAGTGGGATTCAGCTGGCCAGAAGCACAGCTGCACCATCACCACTGCATACTACTGGGGTGCAGAGGGTACGCTGCTGGTTCACAGCATCGCCAAGCACCTGACATGAGAATGTGGAGTACTGGCTGAAGGAGCTGGGGTACCAAGCCGATAGCAACATTGTCAGCTGGTGGACAACAAGAGTGACCTGTGCCATCTGTGTGCCGTGTCCACTGACAAGATCCATTCTTTAACAGAGAACAACTTGTCCTTCATCCAGACCTCAGCCTTGGAGTCCACCACTGTAGAGGAAGATTTCAGGAATTTTCTCACATAGATCTACCACATTGTGTCACAGAAGCAGATTCCAGACCACGCGGCCCACAGCTGGTGCCCTGGAAACAACGTGGTGGGCATCAGTGCGCCACCCTGTACTGATGGACAGAAACCTAACCAGCTACAGTCCTGCCAGAACCTGTGAGTGCCCCAGGCATGTCCAAGTGTGCAGGCACATCCTCACCCTTCAACCACCCCTCACCCTGATGTTTCCCCTGATCTGACCCTCTCTGTCTTTCTGGCTGACTGCCAACATCCCACTGAACTCTGCAGACTCACTTGGGGCTTAGGAACAAGAGGAGTTGAGCAGCACCTTCTGTCCCCCACCTCTCCACCCAGAAAGACTTGAAGCCCAGCTGCTGCATCTGTTTTTGGGGGGTCCCAGTCTGCCTCAGGGAAGGCCTGGCCAGGTGGTAGGATGGACAGGACCAGTCAGAGGCAAGATGATGTGTTCACTGAGCAGGCTTCTTCAGCTTCCCACAGCAGACTCCAAGGAGTGATTCTCTCCCTCGATCTCTGGCCACTTGTCCTAGGTGGCCCTGGCCCCCACCTACATCTTCACTGTGGGCTGAAGACTGAAAAGCAAGTGAACAGGGAGGGAGGCTCAGGCAGACAGAAACAGACTCTTGGCACCTCACTCCACACACACAGGGAGGAGCAGCATATGCCTTTGACCTCGGCTTTTCCACAGCATACTTGAATTCAGCTCAGCTCCTGCCTATATATTTATGGTGGGAGAATACCCCACTTTCCTTTCTGCACATAGAACATTCCCCACCCATTGCTATGCCCTTCCCACTGCCTTGTCTCCTTGTGTGGTCAGGAATCTGTTTGCAAGTGACCCAATGTCTCACTGTTTTGTGTACACGGAAAAAGAGAGAAGGGAACAGGAGAGATGAAGGCATGTACCACAGAATGTTCTCCCACCCAGTATTCATTCTTGATGCCCGAATATTTATTGAAGAGTTGTATTTCTCAATATAAGGTTTTTGGCAGTTGCTTAGGAAAAAACTTATGTTTACATTCAACAAAAGTAATGCAACATTTTGAAACATCTTTGTGGAAAACTTGAGTTACATTCCACACACAACAGCAGGACTTCAGAATCATCAGCCAAAGACTTTGTGTCTCCGACATTCTAAGAAAACCATCACAGGCTTGTGGAACACACAGCAACCAGGGTGGTGATGGGTGACAAAGAAGCAATGTGTGAAGCTTTCTGTGGAAATCATGACAGTGTACTGTTTTCACACAGGCACTTAACGTGTTCTCTTTGGATTCTAGGAAACTGTCGGGAAGTTTGGGATTTCTATAACACATTATAATTTTTCCCACTTAAACTACAAAGCGTTGGGGAGGAAATGGAGGCTCTGGAAGTCTCTCTCACTGCTGATGGAAATGTAAAATGGCACCGTCACTCCAGAAAAGTTGCTCACCTCCTTACAAGAGTTAAACATAGACCTACTATGTGACCCAGCCATTCTACTCCTGAGTATAACCCAAGAGAAATGTAAGTGTATACCCATGCAGAGAATTGTATGTGAGTGTACAAAGGCACTTGATTTGCAATAGCTGAAAACTAGGACCAAGAAAATGTCCATCAACAGAAATGGGTAAATAATTGGTGGTATGCCCATCCACAGGAACAGGATCCAACAAGAAGAAAGGAACAGGCTATTGATAAACACAACATGAAAGCATCTCAGAATAATTATGCTGAGTGCAAATAGCCAGACCAACAAGGAAGTACATGCTGATAACAGCATTTCTATAATGTGTGGAAAATGCAAACTCTAGACACAGAAAGTGGATTGGTGGTTGCCTGGGGCATTGGGTGGCACAATGGGGAGGAGGTAAAGATCACAAAGGCACAGAGAATGATGGGAAAACTCACTTTCCAGACTGAGGTGATGGTTTCATGGGTACCTCCCTGTACAAAATTATCTAATTTTATACCTTACTTTTCTTAAACATTTATTTATTTATTTATTTATTTATTTATTTGGGAGAGAGGAAGGGACTGGGAAATGAACCAGCAATCTTTAGACCCATGGACCAACCCCCAACCCACTGAGCAATAATGGTAAGGGTGAGTCTTATACTTTAAGTATGTGCAGTTGAAAGTCGATTGTACCTCAGCAAAGCTACTGTTAACAATAGGAAATAACTTTGCTCTTAGCATTTGCATGTGGAACCTCTAATTTTTATGAACGTGATTTTTCATTTCTGACATTAGTCAGGGAAATGCCTCTCTTTGGGAGACAGAGCTAATGATTTCCCAGCCCTGCACTGACACAGGCCCCACAGAGGAGGTTGGGATAGGCCCTGGGCCATTATAGGAGGTGCTGCTTCCTAAGTTTCTAAAGGAAATGACGTCGACTGGATCTAAGTGAGGACTCCAAAAGCATCCACACACATCCAGCTGGATCCTAGATGACCACGAGACCCTGGTTCAGATTCTAGACTTACCCAAATGGTCCCTGAGTTGTGATACCCAAAATCTTGTGGTTCACAGACACATTTTGGGGACTACCTCTAACAAACCACCACTAGCTGCAGGTCCTACAACACAGGGCCCCTCCAGGCCCTAATGCTAACCTTTGCAATTTCAGGGAATGTCCGGAGACACCTGCGTGCTAAAAGCATTTCCTTGGGGAAGCCCATGGGAGTCTCATACTTCCCCGTTTACCCTTTGCTGCCTTGGGCTCCCTTTTCTTTCATGCTTTGTGCGGATCTCACCTCTTTCCCCAGCAGACAGTGTGGGGAAGCCAGC